CTATAAATGGAGGAAAAACCCTTTGGATTTCCATCACACACATTGCAGAATTCAAAGAGTTGACACATGAACTGCTGCTTTAAACTGGATCTTCTGCAACAAGAGGACAAAGCAACATCTCAAGGACTTCACTGTGTGGAAAGCTCATGTTTAGGTCCAACTGAGCTAAAATAAGCTACAAGAAAAACATGGAAGGGCCAAGGAGCCAGTTCAGCCTCAGATCTCCCCAGACAGGAGATTCCTTCCCACCTCATGCGGCAGATGAAAGATCTCCTGGAGCCCATGCACATCCTCATGGATTGTTGCCCTTCCTTCTTCACAGTGCCAGTCTTCAAATCCAGGATACGGCCTAAGGAAGGGAAGGAAAAAGGAGATGCTGCTGCCTTGGGAATCCTTCCACCAACACAGCTGAGGAACATCCTGGGAGACCAGAAGGACACGAGCGGCACCGATGGTACCTGGAGGTGCATTCCCAGCAGGAAAAGCACCAGAGTTTGGTTCCTTCGACAAAGAGAAGGGTTTCTCCCAGTCCTGGGAGGTCCTCCCACCTCCCACCCACCCCCTGAGGCCCTGGCCCGGGTTGTGTACCTGTCAGGGCATTCTCAGAGGTGGAGAGCTGCTCCCTCAGCTTGCCCACGTCGTCCGGGTGCACCTGGTCGTACAAGGTGCTGCCAAACCACTCGGACTGGGGTTGGTTGAGGACGGGCGTGACGGAGTCGGAGACGTACACCACGCGCCCGGTCTCGCAGGACACGATGAACAGGAAGCCATCAGCTGCCTCCAGGATCAGGTGTTTGAGTTCCTGCAGATACACACAGCCACCTCTCAACTCTTTATTCCCACATTTGTCCTCAAATCGTTCCGTTGTCAACAAAGTGGCATCAAACCCAAGATGAGAAAACTTCTCCGTGGCCTTCCAGGACCTTAAGGGGGCTGACAAAAAGGTGGGAGAGGGATTTTTTATGTGGGCAGGAAGTGAGAGGACAAAGGAAAATGGTTTTCAACTGCCAGAGAGCAGGGATTGATGGATTTTTGGGAAGGAATTCTTCCCTATGAGGGTGGGGAGACACTGGCATAGGTTGTCCAGAGAAGTTGTGGTTGTTCCATCCCTGGGAGTGTTCCAGGCCAGGTTGGATGAGACTTGGAACAACCTGGACTAGGTTGGATGAGGTTTGGAGCAACTTGGGCTAGGGGAAGGTGTCCCTGCCCATGGCAGGTGCAATGAGATGATCCTTATGGTCCTTCCAACCCAAACCATTCCAGGATTCCATGTACTGGTTTAGATTGGATATTAGGAGGAAATCCCTGGAATGAATTTTCCAGAGAAGCTATAGAATGTTCCAGACCAGGTTGGACAGGGATTGGAGCAACCTGAGCTAGTGCAATCTGTCCCTGCCATGAACGGGATGAGTTTTACGGTTCTTCCCAACCCAATCCAACACAATCCAACTCAACCCAACACAACCCAGTC